TTCAACTTGTGTAGCTGTAACCCCATGATGTGATGGTTCATGCTTGGTCTGATCCCAACTTTATGGTACAATAAACACTAATAATATAAATGATGTACATTCACTGCTCATATCAATAAAGTAATACCTCATAATAGGCCCAGAATCCCTCTTCACCAGTGTAGCAGCCTTCTTTACCAGGGCCTTTGGCTGGAGCTCCAATATCACTGGATGCAGAGGAGAKGGAAAAAGCTCGCCCATATGCAGCTAGTCCCAAATTTAGCAATTGTGCAGGTGCTCCCTTGTCCAACCAATGTTGCATGGCAGAATCCTAAAGTGTAGGAAACAATAAAGATGAGAATGCATCTGTTCATAGATAGGTGTTCAGACAATCTATGTATGAATCATGGTATTTACAGTATTATGGTAGATTGTGTCTCCAGTATCGTGGCACCCTCTGTATAAGGGACTGTGATGTCTTATGACCTTCTTACAGGGGCCATGAAAGTCAAATGTCAGCACATTAAGGAAGTCCAGGTCCCTGTGAGAATGCAGAGGAAGTCATGATGACCAAAGTGCTTTGACATGTAATCATGGGTGTAATGTAAACATTTATAAACCAATAAAAGATTGGCTTACTTGGTAATCTTGTTGACTTCATAGCTGGCATCAATGACCTCTCTCTCAGCAGAGACACTTGCTGTGATGATTAATCGTTCACGATTTTTTCTTCTCCCTTCATTCTCAAAGGCAGCATTGAGCTCCTACACAACAACAACAAAAACATTGTTCAGTCTAACATCCTATAAAAACAGATCCTATGGCATATTACTTAGAGTTCCAGAGGAAAGGGTCTGACCTTGCACAACAKTGTAAATTTCTGCTTGTTGTTTGGGTCGCCTCCTGCTGCTACAGGGTACATCCAGTCCAGGTTTAATCCATCAAACTTAAATATTCTCAGTAGTGCGACAGCAGACTGGATGAATGCTGTTCTCTTTTGTTTTGTTGACACCATCGTAGTGAATCTGATAAACATTTAACACAGTGCTCTCAATATCCACTTCATTATAATAT